ACCCTGACCCACTGCTCTCTCTCCCCCAGGACACCAGCTCCCGGGGCAGCAGCAGCGGTCGAGAACGCCTCATCGTGGAGCCCCCACTGCCCCAGGAGAAGGCGGGGGGCCCGGCCATTCCCTCCCACCTGCTCAGCACCCCCTATCCCTTTGGCATCTCCCCCAGCTCAGTGGTGCAGGACTCCCGGTTCCCACCACTCAAGTAAGTGCAGATTGGGGGCTTGGGGTGGCTGCAAGTGCTCAGGGCCTGGGTCCCTGGGGCTGAGCCGGGAGCCGGGAGCCGGGAGCCTGCGCCAGCTGAGGCTGAGGACCGCCAGATGGTGGCTGAGCCCTGGGCCCGCAGCCGGTCTGTGCCTGCTGTCCGTGTCCACGCTGAGATGATGGCTGGCTCTCCCATTCTGCCTACACCCTGTCCTGGTTCCTGGGACAGGGGTGCCTCTGGGCTGCAGATAGCAGACATGTGCCTGCTGGTGCGGACAGCGAGGGGCCAGGCAGGCTAGGAGCCAGGCTGCCCACCTCTGTGCCCTGGGCCTCCTGCCATCACCGGCATCTCGTTAGCAAGAGCTGGAACCCGTCCCCGGAGACTCGTCCTTCTGAGGGAGGTGGTGGCAGGGGAGGCTGACCCCTTTCCCAGCCTGGAGCGGGCCCTCCGCTCATCTCCTTCCTCTGTCCCTGCTGCAGCCTCCAGCGGCCTGTGCACCACGTGGTGCCCCCCAGCACGGTGACCGAGGACTACCTGAGGAGCTTCCGGCCCTACCACACCGCTGAGGACCTCCGCATGTCCTCCCTCCCTCCCCTCGGCCTGGACCCGGCCACTGCTGCCGCCTACTACCACCCCAGCTACCTGACTCCGCACCCCTTCCCCCACCCGGCCTTCAGGTGAGCTGTCCGAGCCCGCCCTTACCGTCCCCACTGAGTCGGGCTCAGGCTGGTCTGCTCGTGGCAAAAAGGAACCTGGCCAGGAATGTGTTTCTCATGTCCTGGGGGCCTGACTCCCAGTGAGAGCCCGGGGCAGCCCCCCACCCGGCCACACTGGCCATCGGGGTTGCCCTGGTGGAAATGCCCCCCTTCCTGCCTTTGTCAATGGCTCCCCAGGCAGGACTGCTAAGCAGCACCAGGTTCCATGGCGAAGAGAGGGGCTCCTCTGCTGTGTGCCACCCAGTGGAAGGTGGGGTCACTCTGTAGATGCTGCCCAGCCCAGGGGCTGTAGTGACGTGCAAGCTGCCGCCCACCTGGGCCTGCTGGTCAGACCCGGGGAGGTGCTGGACTGGCTGAGCCTCTGGGTGGCAGGCAGGGCCTTGGTGCCCTGGGCTGTCGGCATCCAGGGGCCTCTGTCGGCGAGGGGCTTCGGGGCTGGCCATGGGTGTGCCTCAGCTGGGCCTTTGTGGAGGCTGTGGGGTCAGCCTTCATCCCTTTAACTTTGGTGTTCACTGGCCTGTCTTCTTGGCACAGGATGGACGACTCCTACTGCCTATCCGCCCTGCGGTCCCCCTTCTACCCTATCCCCACCCCCGGCTCCCTGCCTCCGCTGCACCCCTCGGCCATGCACCTTCACCTCTCCGGGGTCCGCTACCCCCCGGAGCTGTCCCACTCGTCCCTGGCGGCACTGCACTCGGAGCGGATGTCCAGCCTTAGCGCGGAGAGGTGAGTCACGTCCCAGGCCAGCTGCCCCGGGCCCCACGGCAGAGCGGAGCTAAGCCCGAGACGGGGCCTGCTGGCCGCTTTGTGGCTAGGTGGCTCCCAGCCACTACTGTCCTTAGTCGCCTCGCCTGTAAACGGGACAGTGGCCGCTGATGCTTCTGGTGACTGTTGGGGTCCCCGCCTTCTGGCAGGAGCTCTCAGCGAGGCCTCGGGCGTTAGTACACAACTCATGTCTTACAGGCTGGGTTCCTAAGGCCCGCGCTCTGCAGGTTAGAATGCTGGGTTCCCATGGAAACCTCGGGCGTGGCTGCCAGTTCCTCACGTCTGGGAATTCTGTCAGTGGGCTGTCCTAGCCCCTTCACAGTGGAGCTCAGGCTCCCTTTCCGCTCCCACAGGCTGCAGATGGATGAGGAGCTGCGGCGTGAGCGTGAGCGTGAACGGGAAAGGGAGCGGGAACGGGAGGCTGACCGTGAGCGGGAGAAGGAGCGCGAGCGGGAGAGGGAGAAGGAGCGCGAGCGGGAGAAGGAGCTGGAGCGTGAGCGCGAGAAGGAGCGGGAGCGGGAGCTGGAGCGCCAGCGCGAGCAGCGGGCCCGGGAGAAGGAGCTGCTGGCCGCCAAGGCCCTGGAGCCGGCCTTCCTGCCGATGGCTGAGCTGCACGAGCGGGTCAAGTCCGCGGAGCAGCTGACCCCAACCCGAGCAGGTACACAGACAGGGTGGTGAGCCCAAGGGACAGACCTCGGCCCCCGGAGGTGGGCTGGCTGCAGGGGTGTGCTGGCAGGTGCTGACAGCTCTCCAAGGGGCAGGCCTGACTCTGCAGCTTCTGCCAACTCCATGGTGTAGACTCCCACCATGGCTGGTTTAACATTTTATTTCATTGTAAGCATACGAGAGGCCCAGTGCACGAAATTCATGCACGGGGGAGGGGGGAGGGAAGAGGGTGCAGCCCTGGGACCCCTCTCACAATCCAGGACTGCTGGCTCCCAACTGCTGGCCTGTCTGCCTTCCAGCCTGATCACCCCTCTAACCACTCCCCTGCCAGCCTGATCACCCCCTAACCACTCCCCTGCCAGCCTGATCAACACCTAACTGCTCCCCTGCCGGCCTGATCGCCACCAACTGCCCTCCACTGCTGGCCATCTTGTGGCTGTGGGTGCCGCCATCTTTGAGGGTGGGGCAGTCAGTTAGCATATTCCCTCCTTATTGGCTGTGGACGCTGCCATCTTTGCGACAGCGTGAGGGCCAATTAGCATATTCCCTCTTTATTAGATAGGATGTATCTAACTTTCAATAAGGGTTTATTTAACAACCAGATTGCATGATTTATAAAACTGTGACAGTCTGCTCTGGTGAGCCAGCATGTGCCTGCCAGCACCCGTTTCAGGTCGGTTGGTCCTGGGCTGGGTGGGAGCAGCACCTGCCAGCGGCCACCTTTCCCGTGGGACAAGGCATGCTCCCCCAAAGCATCCACAAGGCCCTTTCTGGTTGTCTTGGTCCTGGGCAGTCAGGTTCAAGAGAGAAAGAGGCAGGAGCCACCTGGGCCTGGCGTGCAGGGATCCTGCTGTGATGTGACGGCCTCTCTCCTCCCACAGAGAAGCTGAAGGACGCGGGCCTGCAGGCGCCCAAGCCTGTGCAGCACCCCTTGCACCCGGCACCCAGCCCCCATCACACCATGCCCAGCCTTCTCTCCAACCACGGCATCTTCTCTCTGCCGGGCAGCAGCGCCGCCACGGCCCTGCTCATCCAGCGCACCAATGAGGAGGAGAAGTGGGTGGCGCGGCAGCGGCGGCTGCGGCAGGAGAAGGAGGACCGGCAGTCGCAGGTGTCGGAGTTCCGGCAGCAGGTGCTAGAGCAGCACCTGGACATAGGCCGGCCCCCAGTGCCCACGGAGCCCGAGCACAGGCCCGAGAGCACCAGGTAGGGCTCACTGGGTCAGGGGCATGGGGAGGGGCATTTGTCACATTTACTGAGCGCCTGCGGTTTACCCAGCCAGCATCCTGCTGAGTGCCTTCACTTACTGCATTTCGTTTTCATGTTCTAACTGCTGTTTGCCCACGAGGAAATGCAGGCTCTGAGGAGGGAGAGGAGGTGCTCAGAGGCACCCTGTCCCTAAGGACAAAGCCCGCCCACCAAGCCAGGGTCCAAAGCAGGGTCTGCATGGCATTTCAAGAGCACGAGGGAGATGCTTTAACTGACCATTGTAGTCTATTCTTTCTATCTTCCTCTGTTTTCAAGTGGCTGAGGAAGGGACCACTTTTAATTTTTAAGTAAAAAATTAATTTTTGCTTCTGTAACAAAACATATACCCATTTCCTGGGCCCATTATTAAAGGCACTTTTGCTTGTCTCTGGGCCCCCGGCTGCTGACACTTGTGACCTTGGCCCCAGTGCCCCCTTCTCATAGCTGCCCCCTAGGCCTCCTTGCTTCCACCTGTCTGTCTGGCAGTCATCTGTTGTCCCCACCCCCTCCCCATCTCTCCAGGGTTCATTCCAACTCAGAGTTGGAGAACCCCGCCAAACCTCTGGAGCCCTGTCGGCCTGGCTCAGGGACTCGGGGACACCAGATACTGCCCCCTTCTCTGGGCCTCATTTCCTCAGCAGTGCACGAAGGAGGTTGGGCAGGGAGATTTCTGAGCGTCCTTCCAGCTCTTGATATCCATCGTGCTGCCCTGGAATGGGAAGCACTCGGGTGTCTAGGCATTTAAGTGTCCACTTGCTCCCTCCCTCTTTCCAACAGCTCTTGGCTGACATTTTCTTACTGAGTCCTGGGCTTGGCTGGCCCATCCAGCAGCCCTGCCTCAACATCCAATGTTGACTGGGCCAGCGAGGGGATTCGCTTGGCCGATTGGATGTGACTGGGAGTGAACTGTAGGCTGACCCCTGGCTGGGTTTTCCCGCAGCCTCGGGCCTGCTCTGCTGCTCACGGTCCCGGTTTCCCTGAGGCCACAGGGAGGCTGAGTCCTGTCTGTTTTCCAGCTGCTTCCTGCTCCTCTAACTCCCCTCTCAGCCAGGGGACTGGGAGAGCAGCCAGCACAGGTTCCTGTTCCTGGTAAAATCCGGAGCGCTGGTTCCCTCAGGCATCTTCCTCAGCTCAGGGCCCCAACATCCGGGTGCAGCTGTCAGGGCTCCAGCAGGCGTGGCCTCCACCTCAGGGCTCCCAGCTCTCACCCGGCCTCACGGTCCCCACGGCAGCAGGTGGCACGCTCAGCCTGACGACAGCATGAATTTGACATTCTGACCAGCCCTTGTGCTCAGAGCTAGAAAACCATTCGGTGCTTGGCTCTGGCGCTTGAAATATTTATTCTGCTAATGGGCTCTATTCCTTTGTTGCTTGCCTAAGGACACACAGCTTGCTCTGGTTCCCTTTTGTACTCTGCCGATCAGAGGTGCTATGGCGGCATCAGGGACCTCTCCCAGTCTGAGTCCCACCTCGGAGAAACTAGGGGGGACTTTCGGCAGCGGTGAAACGTCTCCTCACTTGGCCAGGCAGGGAGAGACCTGACAGTCTGGTCATGTACCTGCACCCTCTGCCTCTACCCCTTCCATCCCCTCCGACCTTCTCTGGTCTCCTGGGTAGCGTAGCACTTCCCTTAAAATATAGATACTTTGGAAAAACAACCACCAAGTAGCCTTTTGTTGGATCTTGTTTAAATGCATGACGGAAAGAGTCATTTAGGAGGACTGCGTGGCAAAGCTGCTTGGTCCGATGGACATCCTGGTCAGGCCCCAGCCCGGCTCCTGCTTCAGGGCCATGTGGGGCTGCTGCAGTTCTCACGGGAACCACTGGGGGTCAGCAGTGGCTCAGGCCCACCCTTGCTGTGAGGGTCTTTCTACCCCCACCCCACCCTGTCACTGGGCTGGGCAGCCCTGGAAGCTGGTCTCTTTCTCTCTTACTGTTGTCTGCAAGGACAGTGTGGAGAGAGGAGTTAAGGCCACCTTGAAGGCAGCCGGCCCACCCTCTGTTATCTGCCCACTGCTTGGCACATTGGGAGGCGGGTACCAATAGCAGGGTCACCCTTTTGGCGTCAGAGTCCTGTCTTTTTTCTCTGTGTGATGGGATTCCTGTGGAAAACAAAGATGAGGATCTGTCCTTACAGGAGGTGATAGGAATTCAGGAATTGGAATAGAATGAGCTATTGTAAGGTTTTGGGTGAGAAACCAGATAGAAAGAGGGTCTGGCCTGGGCCTGAGACCATCTCTCTGCCCTCAGCAAGCAGAGTCCACCCACCCACCCCCAGCCTCCGTGTCTTTACAAAAGCAGGTCTACACACACTTGCCTCAAGTTGTTTGGAGAGGAAGTGGAGTCTTGGGAAACGGCCAGCACTCAGGTGAGGAGTGGAAGCTGCGTCCTTCCCTCCAGGCCCTGGCCAGGTGGCTTAGAGAAGGAGGCCTCTGCACCCCTCCAGCGCCTGGCTCTCGAAGGGGGCTCCCGGTCTGGGCCATCTCTGAAGCTGCCTATTACACCCGGGCCCTGGCAGCAGCCTGGGAGGCCCATGGCTGGGTGACTGGCATGCCCATTCTCATGACTAACGGCTTGGTCTGTTCACTCCCTAGGCCGGGATCAAACCGTCATGAGCCGGGTAGCCGAGACCCCCCGCAGCACTTTGGCGGGCCCCCGCCCCTCATCTCGCCCAAGCCCCAGCACCACTCCGTGCCCACGGCCCTCTGGAACCCGGTGTCCCTGATGGACAGCACCCTGGAGACACGGCGGGCCCCCGAGAGCCACCCTCTGCACAGCCACCCTGCCCTGTTCGAGCCCGGCCGGCAGGCGGCAGTCCCGCTGGTGAAGGTGGAACGGGTCTACGGCCCAGAAAAGGTGGAGGAGGGGCCCCGGAAGCGCGAGGCCACCCCCCTGGACAAGTACCAGCCGCCTCCACGGGAGTCAGGGAGCCTGGAGCAACAGGCCTTTCCTCACGGGCCTGGGCCCCTCTTGGCTGAGCTTGAGAAGTCCACCCAGACCATCCTGGGCCAGCAGCGGGCCTCCCTCACCCAGCCACCCCCCTTTGGGGAACTCCCTGGACCCCTGAAGCCGGGCTCACCCTACCGGCCCCCGGCACCACGCGGCTCTGACCCCGCCTACATCTTCGATGAGTTCCTGCAGCAGCGCCGGAGGCTGGTCAGCAAGCTGGACCTGGAAGAGCGCAGGCGGCGGGAGGCCCAGGAGAAAGGTCCGGTCTCCCTGGGTGGTGTCTGACCTCCCGGGGCTAGAGAGCCGTAGTGCCCGCCACTCAGCCCCTCCGACCACCCCTGCCTCCCGCTCGGGGTTTAGCAGCTCCGGGGAGCAAGGGCACTGGCTTCTGTGTAGCTACCTGATACCTCTGCTGCGAGAGAGACCCAGGGCCTTTGCCTGTCTTGCTGAAATGCAAATTGTCCCAAAAAGCCAAATCAAAGCCTGTCTGTAAAGACGGTTCCACAGAAATGCATGATTAATAAATGATGAACAGAGGCTAATAAGGCAGTTTTAAATATTAATAGTCCATCATAATGGGGGAGGAGGCTATTGAGCCCAGCAGGGTTTGGTATAGGGAGCTGCCATCAATTGCAGGCAGTCAGGCCTGGGCAGGGCGAAAGCGGGAGGTCTGGCCACCTCTTTCCTGCTCCTGTGGAGTTGGGGGGGCTCAGCCAGCAGCGCCCTGAGCTCCCCAAAGAGCCAAGGAGAACAGGGTGAGAATGACTGTCTCCACCTGCAACCCCCATATGACCAGAAGGGGCCAGAGGCCCAGACCAGTTTCTCATCTCTTGCTGGAAACTGGGGTCCTATGCGGGTTGTATTCAGCCTCTTAGCCAGAAGCTGGGGCCGAGGCCGAGACTTCCCAGGTGGTTGGTCTAGGCAAGATTGAGGGCCCAAGAAGGACTTTCTCCTCTATCCACCTTGTGAAGGAAGAGTGGGGAGCCCCTGGGTGCAGGGATTCTGCTGCTGTTCTCTGCACATTGCGTTTGTGTGCATGCTCTGTGCCTTTGAGACAACGGGATCTGAGTGTGCGTGTCCCCTCCCGGGTAATGGACCCAGATGGCCACAGCAGGAGTGAGCTGATGTGCATAAACAGCCTTGGGTTGCCATGGACACAGCCCCAGTCCTGTGTGACGAAGGATCCCCTGCTGAGGATGTGTCAGCCCAGGAATTGCCTGGCCACTTGGGGGCTATGGGTCTAAGCCAAGCCTGGTGCCTGCCTGCTGCCCCTGCCTGCCATTCCTGAAAAAGTTCCAGGCCTCGGGGCTAATGCACATTTTCACCTGGATTGAGAACAGTCGAGGTTTCAGGGTACTAAAAGGGCCAGCAGGGCCTGGCCTGATGGGTGGGTCTGCACAAAGATCACAGGGGTGCCTGCCCCCATGTCCATCCACTAGAGAACGGAGTGCTCTTGCCCAGCTAAATACAGCTGTTCTTGTCACCAGGATACTACTACGACCTGGATGACTCCTATGATGAGAGTGACGAAGAGGAGGTCAGGGCCCATCTCCGCTGCGTGGCCGAGCAACCGCCCCTCAAACTGGATACATCCTCCGAGGTATCGGGTCTCATCACTGCTGTGTCAGGCTCCGTGCCCACATTAGCGCCTGCCTCTTGCCTTTCCCACTGTCCCAGTAGACCCCACATTTGCTGGGCTCTCCCTCGCTCCTCCAGTCCCCACAGACTGCAGGTGCCTGGGCGTGCTATCAGGGTCCCCCTCCGAGGCCCAGCACAGAGTTGGCCATGGTACATGGGCTTGGAGGACCCCAGGAGGGACCCCTGGGACAGTGCAGTCACACCACTGCTGGTGGTTTCAAACTCATTTGTTTTCTTTCCCAATCTAGAAGCTAGAGTTTTTGCAACTTTTTGGCTTGACCACCCAACAGCAGAAGGAGGAACTGCTGACCCAGAAGCGGAGGAAGCGGCGGCGGATGCTGAGAGAGAGAAGCCCATCGCCCCCGACGATTCAGAACAAGCGGCAGACACCTTCACCGCGACTGGCCCTGTTCACCCGCTATAGTCCCGACGAGATGAACAACAGCCCCAACTTCGAAGAGAAGAAGAAGTTCCTGACCATCTTCAACTTGACCCACATCAGTGCCGAGAAGAGGAAAGGTAGGGCCTCACCTGGGCCTTTAGGGGGTGGGGCTCACTAGGAGCTTCTGGAGAAGCAGGTGGGGTTCCTAGGCTCCTGGGGATGTCCAGGACCCACGTTCCAGGCAGAACCTGAAAACACTTTGGCCCGAGGCGCTCTTACCGCCTTTGGGCTCCCCAAGGAAGCAGCAAGCAGACCGGCCCCACTATCTCCGCCTTCTTCCATCTGAACTCAAATTGTCCCACTCGAAGCCTGTTTTTCCATTTCATCTGGAGTGGAAGAGAAACTTGCGAGTATTTTGTTCTGTATGTAAAGCTGCTCTTGTCACTTGTCACTTGAGAAGGCAGGTTTAGTGACCCTGTTGGTACCAGGCACAGTGCTTCCTCCTGTGGCAGGGCACTCCAGCTCATGGCTGGGCGTTTCCTCTTGCTGGGCCACTCGCATGGCCACTGGGCTTCGTCTCTGATGGCAGGAGGCTTGGGTGGCCTGTGGCCGCCAGCAGAGCCGACGCGCATTGTGAGTGGGCAGCTTGCCCTGAAAGGTGCTTCCAGATCGGCCCTGTTGGGACTGATGCTTGGGGCTGGAACACGTGGTGTGGAAGACGTCGTGTGGTGTGAACGCTTTCTGGGGATGTCCGCTTCCTTGATCTGCCCCCACACGCTCGCTTAGTGCCGGGATATTGGTTGATGTGAGGACTTGGCCTGTCTGGGGTGCTCGTTTGCGCACTTCCACGTTCCCCCTTGCTGATACCTGTCACTTCTCTCTGGAAGGAAGTCAAAAAGAAAGCAAAAGTGTGTTGGTCATTTAGTTGCTTCTACTTACTTCGCTGTTGGGGTGTAGCATTTACTTTTTGTCTTTAACCAACAAGCTGGAATTCTCACTTTCACCTCGAAGGGGCAGGGACATGTGATGAGCAGCACAAGTCTCTGGGAACATGCACAGTTCTGTCGTGGAAAGTGTCTTTTTCCCCGACTTATTCTAGAGGAAACCTTTTAAGTCTCACCAAGAAGTGCCACTGTGACAGGAATTCGTGGCATCGAACATCACAGGAGTCTTCCTTTTCCATATGGGGCAGCCGTCGTGGGAATTGATGCCAGGAGGAGGAGGGGGAAGAGAACGCGCCTGAGAGCAGCCTGTGCTTCCAGGGGTTGCTTCATTGTGTTGGGGCCAACATTTTTGTCTTTTAAATAAGAATGCATCCTCGGAAGTTACCATGGGAGATCACAGCTCCCCATTATGCCACATAGCTGTCATCACCACACACACAGCTATTTTTGGAAGACCTCTGAAATGTTACGCAGGAAAAGCTGAGGCATCTGGGCTCACTCTGACACCAAGTTTTCTTCCTTTAAACACGACCTGTCCCAGTGGTGCCAGCTTTGTGTCTTCTCTTGGTTAAAGGACTTGCACCTGCCAGTCGCAGCCTGGGCTAGAATCCGCTCCCCTTCCCTCTCAGAAATAATGCAACTGTCTTGTTAATCTCAGGCTGCTTTTCTCATAGACAAAGAGAAACTTGTCGAAATGCTCCATGCCATGAAGCAGAAGGCACTGTCAGCGGCAGTGGCAGACTCTCTCAGAAACTCTCCGAGGGACAGTCCTGCTGTCTCCCTGAGCGGTAAGGCCCAGGGCGGGAAGAACGGCCCCATCCGCCACTGCCCAGGACCGTCCTGTGGGCTGCCCATGGTCAGAAGCGACTGCTCAAGGTCTTCATCATGAATCTTTCCTCCTGGAGATAGAGTGTGCTTCTCCCTCTCTGTCTCATACAAGCTTCCTCCATGATGGCGAAGGATCTCCTCGGGCCAGAACATGAGAGCTGAAGTCAGGGCTCAGAGAGTGAAGGGGAGGGTCCAGGCTTCTGGCGGTCAGTGTAGTTGTAGCCACCGTCCGTCAGTCCAGGGGTGGCCTAGGCCACCGAAGCCCTGTGTCCCAGGTCTCGGCACCTCTGCTTCGGCTCTGCTGCTGCTGTCTGCCCTTCCTTGGCACTCTCCTGCGTCTTTCTTGCTCATTCTGCCTTCCAGGCCTTTCCAGCATCTGCTTTCACACCTTCTCTCTCTTATGGCTTTGATTGCGGTGCTGCTGCGTGGAGCAGATCTTTATTATCCAGCCCTGTCCTCAACTCCTAACGCAGTCTTTCTTGTCGGGTCGGGCTACATAACTTCTTGCCTTTTGGATGACCTGAAGTAACTCGCTTCTTCCTTCACATTCCTTTTCTTCCCAGATGCCTTCCTGGGGCACCTTCCAAGGATGGACTTGCTGCTACCACACCCCGTCCTCAGGCCACACCTGTGCACTGACATTTAATTAAACGGCTCTGAGTCTTGGTCCTTTGTACTAGGTCTTGTTAAATGTAAGCCATAGAGATCAGGGCCCGCCTGGTCTCTTGCAGCTCTTAATATTTTCCTCGCTTTCTGTCTCTAAAAGAACCAGCCACGCAGCCAGCCTCTCTGGATATGGAAAAGCCGGTGGGTATTGCTGCTTCCCTGTCTGACGTCCCAAAGGCCACAGAGCCTGGGAGACTGGAGCAGCTCCGGCCACAGGAACTGTCTCGAGTCCAGGAGCTGACTCCTGCCAGCAGCGAGAAGGCCAGGCTGAATGAGGCCCCTGGGGGCAAGAAGAACCTGAGCATGATGCATTACATGAGGGGCCCCGCCCCCAAGGACATTCCCGTGCCCCTGTCCCACAGCGTCAACGGGAAGAGCAAGTCGTGGGAGCCCTTCATGGCAGAGGAGTTTGCACATCAGTTCCACGAGTCTGTGCTGCAGTCCACCCAGAAGGCCCTCCAGAAGCACAAAGGTAAGGCGGCTGCCCGCCCTGGGTGCGCCCCTCTGGCACGTCAGTGTGCAGGAGGCACCTGGGGAGGTCGTCAAAGGCAGAGTCCGCCTCAGCAGGTCTGGGTGGGGCCCGAGAGTCTCCACTTCCAGCTGGTGCTCGAGTGATGCTGCCGGGCGGGGACCACACTTGGAGAAAACTTGACGTGATGCCACCTGAGTTTAGTAGAGGCACTTCTTTTAGCAAGGCCAGGCGGGGTGCCTTTCTGGCAAAAATAGGGTCATGTTCTACAGCTGAGGGTTTTCCCAGTGTCCCCATACAGACTCACCTGGAAATCTCCCCATCCTTTAACACTAGACTCAATGGGCCTGGTGAGCACTTTGTGATCTAATGGTTGTGCTAACCCCTCATGTGAGCCCCCATATTCACTCTCCCAAAGTTTAGTGAGTCACTGATGATTGGAGAACAGGGTTTGCTGCATTTCATTTCCACTTTCTCCTCCCCAGGGAACGTAGCCGTGCTGTCTGCAGAGCAGAACCACAAAGTTGACACGTCCATCCACTACAACATTCCTGAGCTGCAGTCCTCAAGCCGGCTCCCTCTGCCCCAGCACAACGGGCAGCAGGAGCCCCCAGCCGTGAGGAAGGGCCCCCTCACACAGGAGACGGACCAGGACTCGGAAGAGGAGGAAGAGGAGGAGGATGGAGAAGAGGATGATGAGGAACCCCCCAGACGCAAGTGGCAAGGGATTGAGGCAATTTTTGAAGCTTACCAGGAACATATAGAAGGTACAAAGGGGAGGGAGGAGCAGAATCAGGGCCCAGTAAAGAAAGTCAGTGGAAGTTTAATAGACCAATCAGTGCAGGACTTCACTGCCAGCATTAGGGACAGTTTCTAAGGGACAGTACTGGCAGATTTTCTGGGGCACTAGATGCTAATACTAGGTGAATTTTCCTCCATTTTGCCCATTTTAAGAACTGTTCCTCAGGCTTCTGTAGGTGCCCAGGCTTACTTGGAGTGGTAATTCCTCATGGACAAACTTGAGACCATTCTCACCGGAGCTACGTACAAGGGTCCTGGAAAATGCAAAGCTCATTAATTTAGCTGGGCTCCGAATAGCCAGGCCTGATCCCTGTGTGAGCCTGCCTTGTATTCGAAGTGTCTCAATGCTGGCGGCACTTCCCCTCTCAGGCCAGTCCTTTTTGTGCAGGGAGGCAAGCCCATCAGCCACCAGAATGTTTTATTCTCAACTGTGGGTGCACACTCCACCCCTGCCTGGTGGAACACATCCTGTGGGCACACCCCTCCCAAGCTGCTTGTGTACCGAGTGCAGGGGTCACAGGCTTGCATGCTGGTGGAGCTCTGGCATTGCTTCCAGCACACAACCGCCCTTCTCTGCACCTCATTTTCCTTGAGATGCCTGCAAAGGCCCCTTCCAGCTTAGACAGAGACTGTGTGCTGTGAACTTGATGCAGGGGAAGTGGAGGAGCCCAGCCTTTCCCTCCAGTGAAACAGGCAGGTGGGCTCCCAGGAAGGAGGAGCAGAGCACTGGCAGGAACTCTGAGCTCCTGGTCTCTGTCCCGCTGACAGGTGAGCCCCGCCCCTCTGCACTCTATTGAGTCCTCACTGCAGCAACAGTGCCATCAGTTTGACATGAGTTGAGAAATGCAAAACCCAGGCTGCCACCTCCTAATTAATTCATTTCCATATCACACAAGTTTTATCAAGTATTACTATGTTGTAAATATAAACATTTGATTATGAATAGCATAATCACTTCAAATACTTTGAAAAATCAGAGACAGACTAACAAAGGGACAACCAGAGTCTCAATTCCTACTGTTCATTGTTTCCTCCTTCAAATGGAATCCTTTATTTGAATGTGTCCATTGCTTCTTGCCTGTTGCTCTTAAATACATACATATGTATCCAGAAGCAATGTATAGCATTATTATGTACTTCAATGGAGTGAGGTGTATCCACTTTTTCTGGGTTGATGTTTGTTGGTGACTTGTTTGGGAATTCCTTCCCTACCTCCAAGGACATATTCTACATTTCCTTCTAAAAGTATTCACGTTCTGCTTCTCTTATGCCTAGAATTCACTTCTGTGTAAGAAATAAGGTAGAAATATAACCTCATCTTTCCCACCTGGACAACCAATTATCCTGGCGGTTTCCAGGATGCCTCTTCCCTCTGGGCATGCCCATCATGCAGCATCCTCTCCTGTGCCCAGGTCTCTCTGGTGCTGTTCTGCTCCACCCGTTGGGGTCCTGGCCCGTCCCTGTGTCATACCATATCTTTGCAGCGCTCTGTTGTCAGGAGTAACTCACCCTGACTTGTTCTTCTCTAACAGCTCAGCTGTTCTAGGCCCTTGGCTTTCCCCGGTCAATTTTAGGATCACCTTATTTGTTCTGCCCAATTGAATTCACAGATTTAGGAAGAATTGACATCTTTTTTTTTTTTTTTTTTTAATTTTATTGATTTTTTACAGAGAGGAAGGGAGAGGGATAGAGAGTTAGAAACATCGATGAGAGAGGAACATCGATCAGCTGCCTCCTGCACACTCCCCACTGGAGATGTGCCCGCAACCCAGGTACATGCCCTTGACCGGAATCGAACCTGGGACCTTTCAGTCCGCAGGCCGACGCTCTCTCCACTGAGCCAAACCGGTTTCGGCTGACATCTTTAATAGTGATATTATTCCACTTATGAACAGGATAGTGAATTATACTAAATAAATTTTGCTGACTTTTCTCCATGAGTAGTTTACTTTTATTAGATTTAGTTACCACATTGATATTGTGGGTTTTTAATTTTTGTTAGCCCTTCTTCCTTAGGTAATCAGATAATCAGACCTTTTGCAGGTTAAGTTTAGTTCTTTTTGAGTGTTTAACTTTTTCTCATATTGCATTTCCTAGAACCTCTAAGCCATTGAATTAGAGGCACACTAACTGGGCTGTTGTCTTGTGAAACTTTAAAAGTGGTTCATTAAGCATCTCATTTGCTGCTGAGCTTATGGTATATGATCGTCAAAGGTTTAACTAATGCAGTTTCTGTGCCCATTGAGATGATGACCCTACTTTTGTTTTCTAATGTCATTTCCTCCTTGCTGAATTTAACTTGTTACTTCTTTTAAGGTTTTAAATCTACTGAAGTGGTATTAAGTGCTAATTTTATTGTCTTTATTTTGCTGAAACTGTTCTAGTTTCTATAAAATTAGTCTGGCAGCTTTCCCTGGTTTTTATTCTTGGAAATACTTTGTGTGATGCAGGGATTTACTCTTGCAAGTTTGAAGGCACTCTTGTTAAAAGCAGGCCTGGAATCTTTCGGAAGAGATTTCATTTTACTAATTTGAACTCCACTTTGAATTTCTAGGTTTATTCTGGCCGTTTCTACCAGCTTAAAAACTTCCAAGGCGAACGCCAATATTTTTTATCTTTCTTTTTGAAAAATGTATCTTAAGGCCATAAATTTACCCTTAATGTCTTAATCTGTATCCCTTAAATTGCCTTTCGATGCTTGATCCTTTGATTCCACTGGGCTGGATTTAATTTAGTAACACTGACATATTTACCAGCATGATACCAAGAACTTGGAGCCTTATGGTCCCAAGGAGAGTACTATGCTGGCTGCATGAGAGGGAAAACAATCGCAGAGTCTGTGATCCCTGTACACAGAAAATACATCAACAGCGCTTGTCTTTTCAGAGCAAAATCTGGAGCGGCAGGTGTTGCAGACGCAGTGCAGACGGCTGGAGGCCCAGCACTACAGCCTCAGTCTCACAGCAGAACAGCTCTCCCACAGCATGGCGGTGAGTCTTGGGTCGCCACACATGAGAAAAGGAATGAAAATCAGCTCCAGAGGAGGTTTTCTTAAAACACACTGTGCTTATTTTGTTTAACCTTTGGGTTCAAGATTAGCCATACAGACAGGTTTGAGGGACAGTCCTGCTCTTAAGAGTTTAAAGCTTATAGTCCTAGGGAAGACGTTCAAGGCTCAGTTGATTACCCTAATTTGCAAAATATTGATCCTGGAAGAATGAAGATGCAGTATTCCTTTGGGGGAATTATTTATTGCCTTTGTCAGTCTCCCCAGCTGTGATTTGCTAAGGAGAAAGGAAGAAGGATTTTACTGGAGTAAAGTTATTAAGGAAAACAAACCACCTCCTTCCTCTTTGCAGCCTGGCCCAACAGGTCGTCCAACTATGACATGTGGCAAGCCCCAAGGGCTTCCTCCCAGTGGCAATGTGGGGCTTAGATCAGGTCTGCACATCTTGGCCTCTCCTACGCAGTAAAGGTTTTAATTTTTAAAGCTCAGGGTCGAAGCTGAGACAACAGTGGACACTGGTTCCATGAGAGCAGGTATTGTGAGAACCCAAGACTTAGGAAGAACCAGTTCAGCCTGCCCCCAGAGGCGCTGTCAGAACACTGAACTGGAAGGAAGAGGTTTTCAAAGTGGCCTCCAGCACGTTTCTGCATCACATACAGTTCCGTGAAACCAGTTTGTTTAATGCAAATCTCTCTCTGCAGGAATTGAGGAGCCAGAAACAGAAGATTGTCTCAGAAAGGGAGCGAATCCAGGCGGAACTGGATCACTTCCGGAAGTGCCTTGCATTGCCTGCATTGCATTGGCCTAGGGGTTACTTTAAGGGATATCCTAGGTGACGGTTTCCCTTGCACTAGGCCGAACCTATAGTATAGAAATATTATCTATTTTATTACCTTGAATATTTAATATTTTTCACTGGGAGGTTTGAAGCTTAAAAAAAATAATAAAGAATGTGCCATGCATGAAGCAAAGGATTCCAGACTCCAGAAAAAGAACGAACTCACCTTGACTTCAATGCAACTGAATCACCTTTGTAATTCAGCGAGCAACCAATGTAGGACATCGCCCATATATTTTTTTAAAAGGCAATTTTTTTTCTTTACCCATGTCACCGTTTTAAAATCTGAAAATGAAGGCTCCGTTACCAACACTAAAACTTTTATCATTTATAGCCCCTGGGTGCATAAGATTGGATCAAACTGCTTGTGTTCTATTTCTTGTGTTGCCATATTACTATGCCTGAAGACCCAAGTTTACTTTTGCTGCAGCAGAGGGTCGGTCTCATGCCTCCCCAGGACTGAGACCTGCTTCAGCTGAATGAAGGTGGGGTGCATTTTAAGTGAAGGGCTTATTTGTTTTGGTTACTTTTCTGAAAAATTTTCTTCAAAGCAACAGTACTAAAAGTCTCACCAATAGCAGGCTTTTCCCGGAAAAGCTCTCACCTAAAGATAAAGCAAATTGACAAACTGAAGGTACCTTTTTTATTACTCCATGGGGTGGGGGGGAGTGTACAGAGCTCTATGTATACATATATGCACACCCACCAAATTGTTGCTGCAGTGGGGGGTGTTTTCATACAAACAAATTTTGAGAGAAAAGTCAAAGGTGCTTCAGCCTTGTACTGTGTATATATATTAAAAAACAAAGTTTTGTATGTTTTTATTACTTTAATTATTGTTATAAAAGGCCTGCCATTTTTAATATGTGGTTTTGGGGGATTTTTGTTTGTTTTCCTGTTTTGGGGTTTTGTGTTTTGTGTTTTTTTTCTGGGCAAAAAAAAAACAAACTTGCTTTTAGTGTTTGTACTGCTGCTGGTCAGGACATTAAATATTGAAGTGTTTTTAAAAATTAAAGACGAAGAAAAGTAAAAGAGCTTACCACTGGCGCCTATGCGATCACTTCATTTTTGAGTTGCACCAGAAAATGATGTAGAAAGCCATGCGTTACTTCTTACCTCCTTCTCTACCCCCTCCCCCCAGCTCTGGACAGCAAATAGCAGTTATACCTAGTTGCTATCAGTGAGGAGGGGCTAGTCTATGGTGAACAAGACATACTGGATGTGCACCTATGCATGCACCTACAGACATGGGGCTTTTTGCAAAAGAACCTTTCAGGAAGTGAGCAGTTTGTGATAGAATCCTAAGGTGTCTTACAGCAGTCTGAGAACAGGTGCAAAGTAGAAACTCTAGAGGCTTTATTAGATGCAAAGCTTTGTAAAAGCCTAAAAGTAGGATAAAGGATAAACAATGTCTGAGCTGAACTTCTCCTCCTTTTGAACTGACTGTGACAAGCACAGGAGCAGCTAGAAACAGATAATCAGATCAGTGCAAAGCAATGGGGAAATTTTTCCTTCTTGTCCCAGTTAACTGCTCATTCAGGCAGGGTTTAATCTAGATCAAGCAAGTATCTCTTGCCTGAATGGGCTTGAACCAGAGGCTAAAGCAGCCAGTGGTTGGTCTGCCAGGGGAGAGGGGATGAGAGGAGGTCTGAGTGTGATCACGCCTCCCCTTTACCCAGGGGAAGGGCTGGCTGACCTTCATGAAGGCTACTCACTGTGATCAGTGGCCGCACCCTCAGCCCCAGACCTTAGCTGTGCAGAACAGCTTGCTGGCAGATGGCATTGTGTCGCTTTATCTGTTCCCACACAGTTTGCTTTGTATGTCTGCCAAGAATCTTCCAGTTATTAGCAAACTCAGACAAAAAGTGCCGCCAGTATTATCAGCAGTCAACAAGCGCCTTCCTCTCCACAGAAACGATTTGACGAGATCTAAGGGCTGTTCTGTGGCCTCCCCTGCAAAGACATTGAGAGATCAACATGTTCCACAGGTGGGGACAGGTGTTTAGAGGGAACTCTATTGCCAACAATCAGGGCAAAATGTCACTGAATTTCTCTCTTTAAAATCTGCTTGCTGCTTCTGGTCTGAAAGCTTAAGAGCTACATCTTAGCACTTCACTCCCAGTCCTCCTTCGCCATCACAGAATGTCTGAGTGCTAGTAATTTTGCTGATCAGCTTTGGTAATGGCCTTGGCTTAGAAAAAGAAAAATGTAGATCTAATAACTTGATGGGAAAGAAAAGCAGAGCCCCATTCCTCCTCCAGCCCAGGGGAGCTCCCTTGGGGTTTGTTTAGTTGTCAGGGAGGACGTCCCTGAGCTAGTAACAACTGCTTTTCCTTCTTCCCATTGAAAACGCCACTGTCACCCCTGCACTTGAGCTTCTGTCACTCTGTCACACCCAACTCCCACCCATCTCTAGAGATCTCTGAATATTCTTGGGCTTAAGAAGTAATATGACAATCAGAGAATATAAATATACACCAGAAAAGGCAGCATAATAAACTAAGAAAAAGGTAAAGTGTCTTTTGAAAACAAATGCACCACTAAGACATAGTACCCAATAATGGTTTTTCCATCCAACAATTAGTTCTAAAATCTTAAAACACATTTTCATCTCATCTAATTTTCCTTTTTCAGTTTGGGCTTAAAAATGGGCAAATATGCGCTCTCTGAAGATTTTGTTCAGCTATTTCACACTGAGTTTAAAAGACACAGCTCAGAAGAACACCGAATTTGCTCTAGAATTGATTTTGCAACCTGTGTCAGTCCTCCACGGCCTCAGGTGCTTCCTACAGCACCGGCAGGAGACGGCCGTTTTGTTAAACTTGTGAGGGACACCTTCCAAAGCCAAATCCCCAGCTTCGCATTTAATCAAATATTTAGGGACAAACCAGAGGGTTCCTCAAAACTTGGATCTACACACCTGATCATTTGAAAATGCATTTGTTCTCTGTTTCATATAATCAGAGCCAAACTGACAATGAAAACATTTCATGATATAATCCACTGTCTAACATAAATGGCCAAGGTAGGGTTTTCAACAGTTTAGTCTACATTCTAAAGGAAATAAAACACTAAATTGGCATTAACACTCTATTAGATAATACCCTTAAGGAAATTCAAAGACTATTCAGCAGTGAAGAATTATAACACAAGAAATCTTACATTTGTACATGAACGGTATTTCCTAAAGACTGCCTAATCTCAAACATTACATCAAGATACTCCCTTTCCCTCTGAGCCATGTGTTTTTTAAAGTGTAGAAAATTCCAAGGATCCACCACAAGATGGAGATGATCAGCACAAGCCGATTCTGTTACTCTTAAATAAGTGTATATTAGCCATTTAGCAGCAATCCCTATACTCTTTCAAGTAACCAAGCTATTGACTTTCTTACTACTTGCAGTAGCCTGTCCCCAACTTTTGATCCAGCACTTAACTTAAACTCCTTAACTCTGCCTAGACCTGAGGAAGACCATGCTAATTGGTTGTGTTACTTTGTATGTACCCTGTGTTTAATTGCTAGAACAGTAAACCAGTACATGGGAGGGAGGAGGAACAGTGCCTCGGTCACTCTGGGGGCAGTTTAGATGCTGTGAAATTAAACCTGTTCTAAGTGTACTTGTTTGAATTAATTGTATTGTAATATTATTTGTTGAATGTAGTAATTAGGTATTTATGAATATATTGCTGTAATTTCTGACAACATCCAAAAAAAATAAAATCTTCCTAAATCATGTTAAGAGGAAAATCTTTTTTATGCTATAATAAAAATAGACCAATTTTTTTTTTTTTTTAATGCTCAACAACTATACAGCTTTACAGGTAAAATGTGAAGACAGATCCAATGTACCTCAGTCAGGTTTTAGGAGAAAGGTAGTAGGGGCTGATCTGAGCTACACAGGATTCCTGACCCTTCACAATAAGGTGGCTTCATTCAAGAAGATTCCCCGGATTAAAATCTGAAGGACTCCGAGTAACAGTGACAAGAAAAGGCAAGTCCTGTCATATGAAAGCGGTCCTCTAAGCCAGCGGGTGCCAACCTTTCAGACCTCACGGACCACCGGTTGTCAACCACTGCTCTTAACAGTCACCTTAACTGATAGAAACAAGTCTTCAGTATCCTAATCCCTCTGTGCCTGGCCCTTCAGTGTTCAAACAACCATCAGCTGCTTGTTGGAGGGACATCTAGAAGGACAGCAATGAGGAATGGAGAAACCTGAAGTAAGTTTGGACTCTAAACACTGAAGAGCAAATACCAGCAGGTCTCTTCCAGGCTCAGCTGATCACATACTCTCTTCAAAAAGCCCTTGGGACAGCATGTGACAGTCCAAAACCACCAGGTTACAGAAACTGCCACTCACTATATGATTCTAGACCAGCGATTTTCAACTGGTGTGCCACAAGCATTTTTTAAACATGGAATACCTGACTATTTAGTCAGGGGCACTGACCTCTTTTCCCTTAGATTGTCAAATAAAAAATGGCAGTAGCCAACACAATAGCTGTCAACAGTGTGAATGAATCAAAACTATACCTATTCTTTTTGGTCAGATTGGCAAAAGATAATTTTTTTTGGTGTGCTGCAAAATTTTAGTAATTATGTGTTTATGTGTGCCATGAAATGAAAAAGGTTGAAAATTGCTGCTCTAGACAATCCTTACCCCTTTTAGGGCAATAACATTTCTATGAGCAATTTAGCAATTCCAAAACGCTATATTTGAATTTTTTTCTCTTAGAATTTACCCTTCTTTGAGCCACTGCTACCTATGACCATCTTACCCTAAAACCCATCAAGAGCAGTGTTATAGGTCCAACTTTTCTTAGCACTGTGCTCCACTCACATACTCAAATAACATGGTTAGTTTTAAAAGCAGCCCTTTAAACTGTAACCAGAAGTAGCAAAGATAACAAGAGACAACCAGAGTGTTTGAAGTTTACAACCTGCTACACACCTCAGTTTGGCCTATCGTTACCATTTTAGCCACATGGCTTAAGCAGGAAAAAATAAACCCAATAGGTTGGGTTGATTCCATCTTTATTCTGTATCAGGGGTGGGGAACACCTAGCCTGTGGGCCTTATAAGGCACTCAGAATCACTTGGTCTGGCCCTACCAAGGCATTAGGGGTGTTAATTAAATGTTTGACCAAATAGAGCAGGCTGATTTTTAAGTTGATCATTTTGTATGGCCTGCAAATGATGATATAAATATTCAAACGGCCCTTGGCAGAAAAAAGGTTCCCCACCCCTGGCTGAGATCAACCCCTGTCGGCATCACAAGCCACCATCTGCCATCCTCCTCTATGTGAGCAATCTCTAGATTTAAATTCAGCCAGAAAGATCCATATCAAAACAACAAAGTCCTAGGGCCCCATCACCATTTGTATCTGTCTTTTCAAAGCAACATGAACATCACTGAACATTCACCCACACATAACAGTTCCGTGCAGGAGACCTGAGACCGTGCTAGGGAGAATGGCTTGTTTGCTGAAGCTTTTTCTTTCCTCCATAAAGGAGCAGTTGGCCTCTAGAGACAGATGTGGAATTAATGAATATCTTAAGAACTAAACATAACCTGTTGCTTTCCAACAATGTTATCAATCCATTCCTTGCTTCATTGCACGTTTTTCTTACATTCAAATGGTTCTAGAAACCCAGCACTGAGTACCTCTAACATGTCCTGAGCACTCACACATTACCCGGTAAGCCTCATGCCAGGAGACACAAGGCCTTTACAAATCAAAGGTCATTCTCTAGAAGTCCTGAGACTGGGCACTTTCAGAAGGTTGCAGGTTTGTACGGAGTTTGTACATGTGATTGAGAGCTTGTGTGAGGAATGCCCCGCTGGTGTTGATCTCCATCAAGGTCAAATTATCCAGCTAAAACACAAGAGAAAACAGGGGTGGTTGAGAAGTTTCTGAGAAAAAGTGAAAAATCTACTGAACAAAAATAAGAAACCAATAATTTTTAAAAGCACAGTCAGTAATTCCTGCTTGTGAGAGCCTAAGCAGGCAGAATGCTGTCGGAAATCCCTCAGCAGCACACCTACCTTCGCATGTGCCTCCTGCTGCCTCACAAAGCTGTCAGCAGACACCCGCAGTTTGGCTATGCGAGTGTCCCACACATCCTTGATCAGGGTGCGGATCTCATCTGCTTTTGGAATGTTGTCTGAAGCACTAAAGGAAACAAATAAATTGCATAAGGAAGCACTCAGTAAACTAAAGCAATATCCAGCTAAAAGTGGCTTTAAAAAGAAAAAGGTTGCTTGGATTCAGGTAAAATACACACACTGTCCTAGACTCAGATTTTGTTTTGCTTTGTTTTCAATTTTAAAATGTAAGGATTCCTAGCAGTTAAGTTTGGTGTCAAGAAAATTCAGCCATGAGCCACAGTTATGCTCATGTAACCTGTCCCCTGGCGGGCAGTGGCACAAGGACTTCTGTTCCGTAAAATCCTTATCTAATAAAAGAGAAACATGGTAATTGGTGTACAACCGCTACCCTTCCCATTGGCTAATCAGCGAGATATGCAAATTAACTGCCAGCCAAGATGGCAGCCGGCAGCCAGGCAGCTTGAAACTAAGAGGAGGCTTGCTTGCTTCAGTGACGGAGGACTCCAACGTTCCCCGCCCGCTGCTACAGGCCTCTGAGCCGCAACTCTAAGCAACTATGTAATAATTATAGAAGCTAAACC